CTGACTCCTTCTCTCTGACTCCTTCTCTCTGTCTCTCTGTCTCCTTCTCTCTGTCTCCTTCTCTCTGACTCCTTCTCTCTGACTCCTTCTCTCTGTCTCCTTCTCTCTGTCTCCTTCTCTCTGTCTCCTTCTCTCTGACTCCTTCTCTCTGTCTCTCTGACTCCTTCTCTTCTCTCTCCTTCTCTCTGTCTCTCTGACTCCTTCTCTCTGTCTCCTTCTCTCTGACTCCTTCTCTCTGTCTCTCTGACTCCTTCTCTCTGACTCCTTCTCTCTGTCTCTCTGTCTCCTTCTCTCTGTCTCCTTCTCTCTGACTCCTTCTCTCTCTCCTTCTCTCTGACTCCTTCTCTCTGTCTCCTTCTCTCTGACTCCTTCTCTCTGTCTCCTTCTCTCTGACTCCTTCTCTCTGACTCCTTCTCTCTCTGACTCCTTCTCTCTGACTCCTTCTCTCTGACTCCTTCTCTCTGACTCCTTCTCTCTGACTCCTTCTCTCTGCTCCTTCTCTCTGTCTCCTTCTCTCTGACTCCTTCTCTCTGTCTCCTTCCTCTGACTCCTCTCTCTGTCTCTCTGACCCTTCTCCTCTGGTCCTTCTCTCTGTCTCTCTGTCTCCTTCTCTCTGTCGCTTCTCTCTGACTCCTTCTCTCTGACTCCTTCTCTCTGTCTCTCTGACTCCTTCTCTCTGTCTCCTTCTCTCTGACTCCTTTTCTCTGTCTCCTTCTCTCTGACTCCTTCTCTCTGTCTCTCTGACTCCTTCTCTCTGACTCCTTCTCTCTGTCTCTCTGTCTCCTTCTCTCTGTCTCCTTCTCTCTGACTCCTTCTCTCTGTCTCCTTCTCTCTGACTCCTTCTCTCTGTCTCCTTCTCTCTGACGCATTCTCTCTGTCTCCTTCTCTCTGTCTCCTTCTCTCTGTCTCCTTCTCTCTGACTCCTCTCTCTGTCTCCTTCTCTCTGACTCCTTCTCTCTGTCTCCTCTCCTCTGATCATTCTCTCTGTCTCCTTCTCTCTGTCTCCTTCTCTCTGTCTCCTTCCTCTGACTCCTCTCTCTGACTCCTTCTCTCGGACTCCTTCTCTCTGTCTCTTCTCTCTGTCTCCTTCTCTCTGTCCTTCTCTCTGACCTCCTTCTCTCTGTCTCTCTGACTCCTTCTCTCTGACTCCTCTCTGTCTCTCTGTCTCCTTCTCTCTGTCTCCTTCTCTCTGTCTCTCTGACTCCTTCTCTCTGACTCCTTCTCTCTGTCTCTGTCTCCTTCTCTCTGTCTCCTTCTCTCTGACTCCTTCTCTCTGTCTCCTTCTCTCTGACTCCTCTCTCTGTCTCCTTCTCTCTGACTCATTCTCTCTGTCTCCCTTCTCTCTGTCTCCTGCTCTCTGTCTCCTTCTCTCTGACTCCTTCTCTCTTGCTCTCGTCGCTCTTCTCTCTGTCTCTCTCTCTGACCATCTCTCTGTCTCCTTCTCTCTGTCTCCTCTCTCTGACTCCTTCTCTCTGTCTCCTTCTCTCTGACTCCTTCTCTCTGTCTCTCTGACTCCTTCTCTCTGACTCCTTCTCTCTGTCTCTCTGTCTCCTTCTCTCTGTCTCCTTCTCTCTGACTCCTTCTCTCTGTCTCTCTGTCTCCTTCTCTCTGTCTCCTTCTCTCTGACTCCTTCTCTCTGTCTCCTTCTCTCTGACTCCTTCTCTCTGTCTCCTTCTCTCTGACTCATTCTCTCTGTCTCCTTCTCTCTGTCTCCTTCTCTCTGTCTCCTTCTCTCTGACTCCTTCTCTCTGACTCCTTCTCTCTGACTCCTTCTCTCTGTCTCCTTCTCTCTGTCTCCTTCTCTCTGTCTCCTTCTCTCTGACTCCTTCTCTCTGACTCACTCCAAAACAAGCTGCACACATCAATCCCTGCTCAGAGTTGGACTGTAAACACAGACAATATACGATACGATACTACACTACTTTAATGGTCAGACCAAGTCTGAAATGTGACTTGCATCACAGCAGCTCCACGTGTAACATCAACATAAACAAATATCCAGACACAATACACGAAAAACAAACAACAAACATTTAACATCACAATCACTGAGAGAAAACAAAAGACCCTTTAGGGTGCATTTGATCTGGGATTTAGCTCTGTATTTACTGAGAGGATTGACTGGTGCACAAAGGAGTGCTTCAGTCTAACTTTATGTTCTGGTTCGCACACAACAATAACATTTAATATAATATCATCTTTCATGACTTTAGGGCTCCGTAGATTTTAATTTTCTCTTGTTTTATTTCAATATTTGCTTGTTTGTCCCTTCCATTAGTGTTGAGGAAGTGTGTGTCCTGCACGTTTATTCTGTTGGCGATTTACTGCTGAGGCTCTTTTAACGTACCATTAAGAGTAAAGTGGGAGGTTTCCTGTGTGACATGAACTTCATACAAAATGTAATATATTTTATTTTAAACCGTATTCAATGAGATGTCAGTGTAGGAGAAACCCAAACTGAAAAAAACACACACATAGTGCAAACAAGGCACACTTGTAAATGCTATACGTCGATACAATATCCTCCAACCCTTACACACTTGAACTACTTATCAATATAACACCAACAGAATGAACAAATGAAGGCAACTACATTATAAGATTGATAGTAAAGAGTGAGAGGGGGTTGAGGAGTAGGGTTAGGGTAGAGATGTAAGGTTTGCTAATCTAAAGTGTTACATTTATTTGCATAATTATATAGAAAGGGTTACTTAATATGACGCTTTCAAAAGTACTGAAAAATGTCCCTGTTAAAATATGTATGTATTTCTGTTTGATCAGGAGTTGGAGGATCTGGATAAGTGGAGTTTTAACATCTTCAGTTTAGCAGAGTTCTCCAACAACAGACCCCTCAGCTGCATCATGTACACCATTTTCCAGGTAAACTAATGTGTGTGTTTCTGTCGGACCGTTCTCACCTGAAGTGCTTTTCTGGTTTTTTAATATACAGTACATAGTAGATACTTACCTTTACAAGAGGGCCTACAATTAGAAAATCACTTCTATAGTTAAAACATAATTAAATTGTGGTCCCTTTGATATTATCATTTGAGAGTTTTAAATGCAAATGTTGCACTTCAACAGTTGTTCATTTATTGGCATTTGATGTACTTTATAGGTTATCATATAAGCATCCTGTATTGTGTAAATCTTAATGCAAGACACAATTGTCCTTTGTGTGTGTGTGTGTGTGTGTGTGTGTGTGTGTGTGTGTGTGTGTGTGTGTGTGTGTGTGTGTGTGTGTGTGTGTGTGTGTGTGTGTGTGTGTGTGTGTGTGTGTGTGTGTGTGTGTGTGTGTGTGTGTGTGTGTGTGTGTGTGTGTGTGTGTAGGAGCGAGAGCTGTTGAAGACGTTTCGTATCCCCGTCGACACGTTTGTCACTTATGTGATGACCCTGGAGGACCATTACCATGGAAACATACCGTACCACAACAGCCTCCACGCTGCAGATGTCACTCAGTCCACACACGTCCTCCTGTCCACACCTGCTCTAGATGTAGGTACACACACACACACACACACACACACACACACACACACACACACACACACACACACACACACACACACACACACACACACACACACACACACACACGCGACACATAGATGTATAAATTGTACCCATTTCATATCTAAATACAATTGATTAAAAGTCAAATAAAGACTAACGAACACACACTAACACACGCTGTTAGTTCTGCATTGAAGTTCCTCCTTAGAAAGTCAAAAACAATTCAGCTTTTTTTTTTTTAAATGCTGTTTTTACTCATATTCCTATTATTCTAAATTAACAGAGAAAACACTGGACGTTCTTTGGATAAAAACTTTTAAAAAGTGGATGATCATATCCAAGTTTCTGTGCTCTTCATCCTTCTGTGCTCTCAGGCCGTCTTCACTGATCTGGAGATCCTGGCCGCTCTGTTCGCTGCAGCGATCCACGACGTCGACCATCCTGGAGTCTCCAATCAGTTCCTCATCAACACCAGTGAGCACACACACACACACACACGCACGCACGCACGCACGCACACACACACACACACACACGGGAAATGTACATTGTGACAGCAGAGAAGAGCCAAAGACAGCTTAACCTAAGAAGCATGCATACAAAAAAATGAAAGATACACAAAAAACATTATAGTAAAAAAAATTACGCAATTTACGGTCTAAATATTTGCACAAACTACCTCCTTTTTAACGTCTTCCTTGGTCCCTCCTTCCTCAGACTCGGAGCTGGCCCTCATGTATAACGACGAGTCGGTCCTGGAGAACCACCACCTGGCCGTGGGCTTCAAGCTGCTGCACCAGGAGCACTGCGACATCTTCCAGAACCTGAACAAGAGGCAGCGGCAGAGCCTCCGCAAGCTCGTCATCGACCTGGTCAGACACACACTAAAAAACTTACATTATGTACATTACTACTTTTTATTTTGTATTTTGTATTTTTGTAATTTATTATATATGTTGCATTGTTGGAGGAGCTCAGGTCAGAAGAATGTCATTGCCATTTCTACACTGTAGCTTTGTGCATATGACAATAAAACCTTTGAATCTTGTAAATAACTTTCCATTATCTGACCCTGGTTTTGTAGATTTGGTTTTCTTATGGCTGCCATCGCTGAGAATCTTATATTTTTTATAATTTGATAGTTTCAGATTTATTAGACATTATGTCATTAAGCTGCTACTTTATTTATATTTTTTAGGGTTGTTGTTTTGGATTCTTTCTGGCCATATTATTTTAGACGTAGAAACCCATCTGTTTCGATTGTACCTTGTAAAGAAAAAGCACTCAGAGTTAGCTCAGGCCTTGTAGCTCATTCACCAGCACTTACTATGGTATGAGTTTCTTCAAGTGAATATATCTGCACTTTCCTTGTTGTTCGGAGTTTCAATCTTTATGTTTTTATGTAAGTCGCTTTGGACAAAACCATCATCCAAATGTAAAGTAATGTAATGTAGACATTACAAGTTAATTTTGTTCAGTTCTGATCTTTTTGAAAAAGGTTTCATCTGTTTAACGCTAGTTTGTCCATAACTTGTTGTGTCTGCATTACTTACACTTAGCACACTTAGAAACACTTTCTTAGTTCACACATGCAACACAAAGTTTATATGATCATATGTAATCAGAATGTAATCATTTTTGTTCATGTTGCTCTTTGTCTGGTAGCAACTGAACTACTTAACTTCGTCCCTGATTTTAATCTCACTTCACATCACTCAACTTTGTTTTTACTGTTTTGTTGGACAGATATGTTAAAGATTTTAGGTTCAATCTTTGTGCTTCCTTTCTTCTGATTGTGTCTTCCTGTCTCTGTGTTTAGGTGTTGGCCACAGATATGTCCAAACACATGACGCTGCTGGCTGACCTGAAGACGATGGTGGAGACGAAGAAGGTGACGAGCTCCGGTGTGCTGCTGCTGGATCATTACAACGAGCGGATACAGGTAACGGTCTGTACTCACACACACACCACAGACACTCATGCATGATGTTGTCTACTTTACTGTGTGTACTGCTGGGGTAACATAATACATTGAATGGTATTGAATAACTAATACTACGTTGCAAACACACACACATTACAAAACGGGGGGATCGGGCTTTCTGTGCAGCTGCTCCTCACCTGTGGATTAAACGTGTGTTTCTTTTGTTCTATGATGCCCCTTGTAGCACTTTGGGATTACTTTTAGCAATGAAAGGTGCTTTACAAATCAAATGTATTATTATTAAAACAAGTCTCACAAAATGGTTCAAAAGGTATATCACTGCCCTGAGCCTGTTTTTCAGGTCTCAGGCTCGAAAATGACATTCCCAGAACAAATGACCATATCTTCCCTTCTAAAAGGGTTAAATTAATAATCTTTTTTCTCAAAGTAATGATAAACCTGTGAGTTGGATGTAGAAAAGTCAGAATCAATATACTGTAGATGTTTTTTATTTTAAAGAAAATTCAGATTTTACATAGTAAAAAACTGTAAATTATAGTGTCCGTTCCAAAAATTATTTTTTACTTATAGTGAAAACCACCCTTGGATGATGGGGTAGTAGACTAAAAACTTTAGGAATCCAAAGTACAACATATAATAAGTACCCTGTATCAAGATTGATGCAAAACAAGTGACATTTGACCTTTTTAGAGAGATTTAGCAAAAATAAACCACTTCTGGGGTCATTTGGGTGGATTTTCCATATCTCTGGCTTCCCTAGCTCGATTTTGATGGTTGACACCTCTTTCTGACCGTTAGAGCCAATAGAATCGAAGGGGGAGTCCCACACACGTTGTGAAGAGAAAAGGTGGGGGCTTCGCACATGTAATTTTCCATCAGAGTGAACCTATCTCTAGCTTTGACATCTGGAAACGGAAAAGCAGTTTTAATCAGAAATCATTTCAAAGGGACACAGACACATTGGATTAACCTATGGATTAACTTCAGCAGCGTTTTTATCGTTTTAATGCCATTGAAGACCACTTTGGAGAGACTACAGAGCCAAGGTAAAAATGTTAGCATTTTTAGCTACCTAGCGTCACCTGTTTTGATGTCCGTTTTTGCTTATAACGTCGCAAATACGTATAATTCAGTGGTAATGTCGGTTTCAATCGATTATGTGTCACCTCACGATGTGAAACGATGTGTTGGATGTGGTGAAAAGATAAATAATAAGGTTTTGTGAGTGATTTTCGGTGAAAGATCAGTTAGATGAGTTTCTTTCCGTTACATGGATATAAAACATTCATAGTTTTATTAAATGAACATGCCCTCAGACACTGTTTCCTGCAAGATGTTGCGGCAGTGCCCCGGTACCGGGGTCTCTCGGGCTTAACAGGTTAACATTGTGTTAGGTGGATTAGATTACTTACTCAATTTGTAATAGGTCATTGTATTGGTAAACATTTTAAAAGCAGCCCTCCCAACCGTGTGTGTGAATATATTATTGAATACTATGTTCTGTGTGTGTGCAGGTGCTGAGGAACATGGTGCACTGTGCAGACCTGAGCAACCCCACCAAGGCGCTGCCGCTCTACAGGCAGTGGACCGAGAGGATCATGGAGGAGTTCTTCAGACAGGGAGACAAGGAGAGGGAGAGAGGCATGGAGATCAGCGCCATGTGTGACAAACACACCGCCTCCGTGGAGAAGAGCCAGGTAACGCTTTATCCCTCTTTTCCATACGGGCTAAATGTGTAGCTGTCAATATAACTAATCCAAATTGATGAAATGGAACCTGTTTTCAAAGCGTGAACCATTCATTTGACATTGGACCTCATGATCACGCTTGAATGAAAGTCAAAGAATCACAAAGATTATTACAATTATTATTAGGGGGTACTGAATATCTGTATTCAAATGAATTGCAGTCAAGGCAAAAGTTGTTGAGATATTTCTTCTTTTTTTCACAATATATATATTTTTTTTAATTTTATTTTTAGGTGAGATAATACAAAAAAACATTATGGACAACACAACATAATAAAACCCCCCAAAAAATAACAACAAACAACAACAAAATCAGACAAACAGCAACAGTAGCAACCTAGTACTCATGTGTGAGCACTTATCGTGTTATATTTACGCCCAGTTATAACACTTGACCATTCTTCCTTCATGTAGGGTTCAATTGGGGACCAGTCTGTAACAAGTTCATCCAGAGTTCCTCGCAGCACGTGTGACATCTGCTCCAATGGCAGGATTGACATCAGTTTTTGAAACCATAACAAAATATTAGGCAGTTGAGATATTTCAAGCTTTAGTGTCATTACAACGGAAATGCAGTTTGCATCCAACCAGAAAGAGAAAAGAGTAGTAAATTTAAAAAGATTTATATCAATCCTCTCTTAAAGGTCACCTATTATACTGTTTTTCATTACTTTATTATAGGTCTCAGATATATACAGAACCTGTCTCTGATTGGCTGAAATACCAAACAGATCATTGCAGCATTACCCATAATCCCCTCTGTTTCAGCCCTGTTTCAAAAGTGCTGATTCTCTGTCTGTTACTTTAGATGAAAATAAGGAGCCACTCCCCACGCCCCTCTGAGAGATATTTGGTTAAAAAGAACTCAATGGTGCTCTAGGAGGAGATTCAGGTGATAAGGTGCGGGGGGGGTTACCTTGGTTGGTGATTGGTAGGGATGCTCCGATCGATCGGCCGCCAATCGATATCGGCCGATACTCACTCTCTGCCGATCGCATGACGTAAAATGATGACGCAAAACAAGCTCGCCAAAATGGCTTCACCAGTCTGGCAGTATTTTAAGGTGTCTAGCTCCACCCGCTGTGACGGACCGGTGAGCGGAGCAAAACACACACTAAGAGTTAGACCTGACACACTTAGCTATTTGAATGTAATAATTATGTTGGTTGTTGTTTGTGGAAGCGCCAGTGAATGAGCCCCATTAACGGCCTGTCCACACGGCGGCGTGCGTTGTCGCTTGCCGGCGGGGGGGGCCGAAACTCGACCAACAACCAATCACATGAATGTCCCGCCCCGGACACACAAGCACGCGGTTTGATTGGCTAGAGCTTGTACTGGCATATGATTCGATTGGCTGACGCTTCCGCCGAAGCTTCAAAAGTTGAACATTGCTCAACTTTCGTCGCGAGCAACGCGAGCAAATCTACGCTTCGCTCCCACAATGCAGTTCGGCGAAACGTGACGTCACCCCATTCAAAGTGAATGGGCAGAAGCGTTGAAGCTTCAACGCACGCCGCCGTGTGGACGGGCCGTAACTGAGTTTTAAACATCACTTTAAATGGAAGATCCCCATAGGCCCCGTCCACTCGATCGGATCGGCGATAGGTATCGGCCGATACTGATTCCGGTGATCGGCGATCGGCCCCAAAATTGGCGATCGGAGCATCCCTAGTTATTGGCTGATGGGTACACAAGCCAAAACATCGTTATGACATCATAAAGTGTCCAAAATCTGATCAGCTCATTTTCAGACAGGTTTTTATATAAATGGATCAGGACAAAAAGTGAGAGAGGGGACACATGTTTATGTAGAAAAGACATGAAGAAGTGGATTTTGCACAATAGGTGACCTTTAAAACAATTTATTTTTCAAAATGTCTAATCATTTCCTTTATAATTTCTTCACCTCCAGGTGGGTTTCATCGACTACATCGTGCACCCGCTGTGGGAGACGTGGGCGGACCTGGTGCACCCGGACGCTCAGGAGCTGCTGGACACTCTGGAGGAGAACAGGGAGTGGTACCTGAGCACCATGCCCCAATCCCCCTCTCCCCCCCCGGACCGACACCTGCAGATCGACCGCTTCCAGTTCGAACTCACCCTGGAGGACATGGAGCACAACAACCACAACCACATCCACCTGAGGAGCAACGGGGGGACGGGAGACGCAGAGGAGAGAACAGAGGAGGAGGAGGAAGAAGAAGGAGCTGAGGAAGAAGACGAGGAGAATCACAACAGCAAACACAACGGGTTACAAAGTGAGGAAGAGGACGATGAGGAGGGTGGAGAAAGAGAGGGAGACGAGCTGGAGGAGAATGGAGAAGGAGAAGCAGAAGAAGTAGAGGAGGTGAAGGACACTGAGGAGGAGGAATGTGAAGAAGACGGAGGAGGTGAAGGACACAATGCAGCTGAGGAGGAGGAGGAAACTCTAGAGGAAAAGGAAGAGGAGGGGCAACATCCTGAAGAAGAACAAGAGGATGGTGCAGGAGATAAGGATGCGAATAACGAGGAGGGAGGAGGCGAGGAAACTTGGGGAAATGAAGATGTAGATGGAGAACAAGAGGGAGAGGAAGGAGCTGAGGAGGAAGAGGAGGTGGAGGAAGAGGAGGGCGAAACAGAGGATAAAGTGGAGGAGGAGGTTGGAGAAACAGAAGAGGAAGAAGAGGAGAAAGAGGAAGAGGAGGAGGAAGGAGAGGAAGAAGAAGCGGTAGAGGAGGAGGCACCAGTTGAGGATGAGAAGGAGGAAGAAGAGGAAAGTTAGTTGCGTCTAAAACATGATTTAACAGGGTCAATGAAAAGTGAGAGATTCAAAATGAAGCTGGAAAGACGGTTAATAGTAAGACTGTCATGAGGAGGAGGAGGAGGAGGAAGAGGAGGAGGAGGAGGAGGAGGAGGAGAAGGAGAGTAGTTACACTTCTCTTCTGATCTGAGGGCTGAACTGCAGACGTCTTAAACTCATTTCCGCAGCTGGCAGACGGACAGAGAGCAGCGTCTGCTTCCCGATCGGCTCAGATTGTTTCGGCGTCTCGATCATCTGGTAGTGATAGAACGACGCCACGTCTTCATCACCGAGTATCGGAACATCCATCACTGCCGTATAGGGGACAACACGAGGGGATCATAAGACAATACATGGGGGGGGGGGGGATGGGGGCTGTTTTATCAACCTTTTGTATCAAAAAAAAGAAAAAAACGCCCTGAAATGCGTACATGCAAATAAGTGTGTGCCTGTTCTCCAGATATACTACCCATCATCTCTGTCACCGTCTCTTTGTGAGGAAGACACACACACTCACACACACACGGCGACCAACAACTGTTTTAAAGAATGTCAACTTCCTCAGTTTGTCAGAAAAAAGAAGCGTGTGGAAAGTGTCTGTCGTCTTATATATTTAATACAAAAACTTTCCACGTTGTGACGGGAACTGAGAACACCTCTGGGCTCCGGTGTACAAAACAGTTCCTCACAGAGCAACCTTTAAAGCAACCTTAATGCTGGATTTCTGAGTAATACCTGGAGCGTTTCTTCCAAGTGGAAACATTTGCAATCCAGTTTCGGAAAAAGGCTGACCTGTTGTTCGTTGGTTCATGATGTCGGTTCATGTTTAAAGGGACAGTTCAACCCAAAAAGACAATTCCAACAATGTTTTTCCTCTTACCTGTAGTGCTGTTAATCAATCTAGATTGTTTTAGTGTGAGTTCTCTGTAGAAATCTCTGCCTCATTTCCCCTATATAGGAAACAGATGGCACACATTTGACATAAAACAAACAATTAGCAGCACTAACACAAACAGCAAATTATATACAGCAATATCATTAACAGTGTTCAGTAACAGGGCATGTGCAAAAAGTGACTAGTAATTATTCTGTTTTTTACAATTGCCATGCTTATGAAGGTAATCTAATTGTATGTGTATTTGTAGCACACACACACAGGTAGATTAGGCTTTAAAAACTTTAAAATACACACATAATTGCGACATTGCTGTTAATATATTTCTTGTTTGTCACAAGCAAAGTGTCATGTTTTTTATTTATTGATTTGTTAATTTGACAAGGACAGAGCACGATTGCATATTATTTAATTTAGCATCAAGAGGAAGGTAACAAAAGCTGAAACATCACAACTACAAATCAATAAGTTAAAAAGACAAAATACATAATGATAAATGTGAAGATAAAAGTGTTCATAGTTGTAGTTTTATTACATTTGAGGGAAGGCAGACATCTTCACGGCCTATATCTCAAATAATATGCAACTTACATGAAAACAATCTAGAAGAAACCGCACTACAGTTGAGAAGAAAAACTTGGGTTTTGGGGTGAAATGTCCCTTTAAATACAAATAAAAACACCCTATATTCATCCCTTCATCCCAGACTGTGAGTTTGATTCCCGGGTGAACCGTGCCAAACTAACCACTGAGCGTTTCAGCCTTCCTCCAAACAAGATGGCCGCTCAACCTGAAGCAATGCATTGTGGGACCAGGGTAACGACGATGGGTGTGATGGTCTTCCACAAATCACTTTTTTCTTTCTATTGTTTTTTGTAAAAATGGTATTTGGCACTTTATCTAACACCCCTGTTACATATATGTACATAACAAACATGTATTTTAATCTGCTGATGTCAAATAATAAATATGATAAATGAAATTCATTGACCTGTGTTTTCAGCTGCAGGTTCTCCGGAAAACTTTTATCCTCTGAAAACTAATGGGACTTAAAAAAGGACTTTTGTTAACGCTTTATTTTCTGGGTCCATGCTTTTTGGGGTTTACCTGCAGTGTGTGATATGGGTTTTTGGTGCAAGTAAATGGTCTGCAAAGGCTAAAATCACAAAGTTCCCTGCAGAGGGAGTTTCTCTCTCCCGCACGTTTTGATTTGAGTTTTTTGTGCATGTCGCAGCAACGCTCCGGGACGAGTAGTGGTCTCAACTTTTAGGCAGGAGATGAAGAATAGGATGATGCAGAATAATAGTGTGTGTGCGGCTTTGCCAGTCACACGCAATAACAAACCGAGTTTCAATTTGTTTTGCTTACAGACATAATTTGTATTTATTTACGACATATGGCAGCGTAAAACACTGTAGCACTGACAGACATTAGGCACACAAGAACATACATATTCACTTTGGCTTTAAAGGTCCCCTATTGTACTAATTTTCAACAATATATTACAGGTCTCAGATTTATACAAATCATGTCTCTGAAGTGTTTGGCTCCAAACACCAAACAGATCATTGCATCATCCGATAATCCCCTCTGTTTCAGCCCTGTTTGAAAAGTGCTGATTCTGTGTCTGTAGCTTTAAATGCTAATGAGCTGCTGCTGGCCACGCCCCTCTGAGACATGATTGGTTTAAAAAACACAATGGTGCTCTAGGAGGAGATTCAGGTGATAAGGTGGGGGGAGGTTACCTTGGTTGGTGATTGGCTAATGGTTACACAAGACAAAAAACATTATGACATCATAAACTTTCAGAATCTCTTTACACAGAGGGGACACATGTTTATGTAGAAAAGACATGAAGAAGTGGATTACGCATAATAGGTGGCCTTTAAGTCGTTCCGAAATATTCTGACAAACTTTAAGTGCAGCCTGTTTTTAACTTCTGACAGTGATGGATGATTCAGATTCAACGAATGTGTTCCTCTGGGCTCAAAACACAACTTGTATATAACATGATGTCAGTGCAATGGTACCATTATGTTTCTTAACACTTGAAGAACCTGAAGCAAAAGAAAAGGCACAACAATACCCGCAAATATAAAACATTTTCTCACACATTTATTCCTTAAGACAACCTCACTCTTAATAAATACATATTAAAAAACACAACTTCCATCTTAAGGCACTTTGAGAGAAGGCTTTGAACATAATGTACGTGCAGACATGTAACCAGCTGCATGTCAGTAGTATTGGTTCAATACACACCTTATTATCAAACTGCACTTTAATGCAGGAATAGCAAAATACTGAAAGTAATCTCCTGAACTTTTAACATTTGTATCTTTTAAAAAGAGTTGCTACCTCAGTAATTGCTATCCTTCCAAGATGATTTTGGCATTAATGTATCAGAAAACACTATCTTATAATCCTGAAAATACAGAGATATTTTTAGTTTGTTTCTTTGGTTACTTCAGTACGCGTTGTCACAAGTTTCCCACACTTTTGTCCAGTTTTTTTTCACTTTACTCTTCAGATCCTGATCTCTTTTTTTTTTTTATCCGAGTATCCAACGTTTTTTCAATGTCTGATCAAAGAGGTCCAGTCAGGAAAGTTGTCGATCTCCCCGGTCTCATTCAGATGTTGGTCTCCATGTGTCATTGTCAGTTTGTAGCGTAGACGCACCTTTCGCTAAAGAGAAGAGGGAGACATGTAGTTGGATAACTGAACACATCAATGATCAACAGCAAATGAACATTGTGTTCATGAGGTCACAGTGACCTTTTTTTTAAATCACAAATCCAAACAGTTCATCTTTCGGTCCAAGTGGACGTTGAAGAAATGTGTAAAATTGCGTTTAAGAAAATTGTATATATGAACATAAGGGATGCAAGGCCAACCCTGAACCATAGTGATGTATGAAGTATGCCATGAAAATGTTATAGTATAGTATACCATAACAATATCACATAAAATCAAAGAATAGAAGGAGAGTATTTGACAAAAATTCAGTGATAAAAAATGTCATATCTCTTGAATGCTTGGTGCCAACACATCTAACTTTGAGACAAGACGTGTGTGTGTGTGTGTGTCCTAGCATTACTATCCTTGTGGGGACCTACATCTGTTTACACAGTCACGTGTGGGGACTCGCCTCCCTCATGGGGACATAATGGAGGGAATCATTAATTTTAGGGTGAAGACTTAGTAAGGGTTAGGATTAGGGTTAGGCATGTGTTGGTTACTGTTAAGGTTAGGATAAGTCTCAGTAATGTCAATGTAATGTCCCCTGAAGTGATGTATACATGGTGTGTGTGTGTGTGTGTGTGTGTGTGTGTGTGTGTGTGTGTGTGTGTGTGTGTGTGGTCATTAGTCATATTATACTAATGCTGGGGGGGGGGTTTCATGTAATTTAACCGCCCTGTTACCTCACCTTTTGAGGGTTATCCAGCAGGAGGACCTGAGAGACGGCAGGTGGAGGCAGCAGAGGGTTGTACGGAGGGAGGTGAGTCCCAGAGGCCGGCTGAAGCTTCACTAACATGGTCTGAGAGAGGAGAAATAAACTGACAATTATATGGATATTCAACTCATTAATGGAAAACAGGTCAGCACAGCTTAAACCGCTAAAAGATCAGGAAGAAAGTGTGTGTGGGAATGTGCATAACACATTGTTCATGAGATGGAAAATCTGAAGTGGGTGTCTCCAGCAGGGGGCGTCAGTGGCAATAAATTAAATCTGATATCATCATGGGTTATTTTACAATTAGACAAACACACAACAGTATAACAGACTAAATATGAAAATACTACAATAAACAAACAATTAGAAACATGTACAATTAAATGTCATAGCTAAATCTAGAGGATGTATAAAAACAAACAAAGTTGAGTTGAGTTAAATCATGGGTATGGTCTCTAGTTTTAACATGAATTTCACGGTAAGACTATTTTGTGATTCTTAACTTTTCCAGGAGTTGCTTTACATTTATGAAGAATTACTTTTATGTAAAAACATACTTTGCAATAAATGTGATTCAGATTTCTGATGAAATGTTGACTTTTCAAACACGTCAATCATAAATCAGATGGTGCAAAAAGAGCTTGAATTCCCACTTGCTCCTCATGTTCAAAAGGTTGTTTTGAAACAACAACGTACCTTAAACTTTCACAACGTTTTACAAGTTTAAATCTGCAATAACAATCTGTACCACTGTCTGATATTGATGATACTCGCTCACACACAAAAAAAAAAAACTAATATTGTATTTCCTTTTTTTAAGAGATTTTTTACCTTTGGAACAGCAGCTTGAAACAGGAAGTCTTTAACTTGGAGGGCAGATGTGTTCACGGTGGAGGAGACGACCACACCGACACAAGGATAGCCCGGCGGAGAGTCTCTGGCAAAATGTAGAGAAACGTGGACGCCGCCATGATCATACACAGTGATCGGCTCAAGATTACCTACAAAAAATAAGAAAATAACAGTGATTTTGACGGTAAATTCAGAAGTAAATAAACACGTAACAGACAAAATCACTAAAAAACAGTACTGTAACACACAGAGTAACACATATTTCTCCTTATGAACTCACTGGGTTTGATGGAGTGAACGGGAACAAAGATGTTTTTTAATAGTTGTGGTGTCAACAAGCTCTCCTTTTTTTCTGGAGATCCCGACATTTCACTGAGTTGTTTCTGATTCTCGGACAGTGATCCTGACTCTGTGAATTGTTGATGTTGAGGGAGTGACCTGAAAAAAGAAGACATCGTCAAACATTTGTTTAGGATATAACAAAGATGGCATTTGAGCAGTGGTAAGAGAAGTACTCAGATTGTGTACTTAAGTTAAGTATTAGTACCAGAGTGTAGGAATACTCTGTTGCAAGTAAAAGTCCTGCATTCAAAATGTTGCTCAAGTAAAAGTACACAAGTATTAGCATCAAAATATACTTAAAGTACCAAATGTACTCGTCGTGCAGATTGGTCCATTTCAGAATAATATATATGATATGTTTTATAATGATTGATCAGTAAAGTGTTATCAAAGCTGGTAAAGGTGCAACTAGTTTTAATGACTTTGTATACTGCAGGGTAGCTTGTGAATTTACTCCAGGTAAATGGCAAATGGACTTATATAGCGCTTTATCCAGTCTTTACGACTCCTCAAAGCGCTTTACATGCTACATGTCATTCACCCATTTACACCCATTCATACAGAGCAGTGTACCTTACTCTAGGAACTAACATTCATACACATTCACACACCGTTGGCCATGCCATCGGGAGCAACTCAGGGTTAAGTATCTTGCCCAAGGACACATCGACATGTGCATGGGCTGGGATCGAACCCACAACATTCTGGTTGAAAGACGACCGCACTCCCTCGCAGCCACAGTCGCCCAGGTGGAACTAAAGTCTGATTTAAGACTTGATTATATTTCACATCATTCATCCACATCTGTAAAGTAATTTAAGGTATTAAATACATGTAGTGGAGTAAAAGTACACGATTTACTTCTGAATTGTAGTGAAGTAGAAGTACAAAGTAGCATAAAATGGAAATACTCATACAAGTATCTCAAAATTGAGTACAGTACTTGAGTAAATGTACTTAGTTACTTGTATGTATGTATGTATGTATTAACATTAATGCACAACACAACACAAAGAATCGTGATAAGGATACATCTAAGTACCTACATTAACATTTGAAAAGGTGATTATTTTAAATAAAAATATAATAGTATAACATGTTGTAATTATGTTACAGAATGGCCAATATCTTTGACTTTCCATCGTTATCTGGGATTATATTTTTAGTGTCTTGACTTGATTTGGACAGTCCTACTATACATTATTTTATGTGAAGGATTTATTTTGTGCCATATTGTGTATTTTTACGTATTTATACCCAGAGTATTTTCACTGTCTATCCTCCCATAATCATTTAAATACAAATTATTCACCAGCACATTATTGAAATTACAATTGGGATTAGAGTATAAACTATATCAGTAGATTTTTTACTTTTTGTATTTCTCAATATATATATATATATATATATATATATATATATATACACAGTACGCGACAACCAAAGCATTACTGTGTCTCCAAAAGTGTATTTATTTTCTCCATCTTTACCAGATATTCGTCCCATTCGATGTCGCGCTGCTGCCCCCACATCCACGAGCTCTCAGAACGACGCCTCTGCCTCCGTTCTGCTCAGCGTGATTCATCTGAAACTCTCCATTTAGCTGAAAAAATAAGAATTAACGGTGTTAAACACACGAAATAAAATCTCAGTTAAACTCTTTAACGTAACATCGGAGCCTCACCTGCAGCAGATCTTCAGAGTACGACCGTGAAGTCTCTTGTTTTGAGACGCGATTACTTTTTAACTCTGTAATCACAGGACAGAACAACATCACATTATAAGACATTACTTTCACAATCAGAATCAGAAAGCTTTATTTGCCTTACAGCGGGAACATTTACATTGTTACGTCATAGGAGATAAGAACACATCCAAAGTAAAAAACATAAAAAGCAGCATTATAAAAGTAAATGAATGTGTATAAGCAGTATTACTTGCACTATTTTAACTATTGTATGTGTTTTATTGTGTTGCACTGTTGGAAGAGCCTGTGACCTAAGATTTTCATTGACATATCTACACTGTAGCTATGTACACATGACAATAAGAGCCTTGAATCTTGAAAAGTAACAGCCAGTAATAACATTATTTTGCACTAGGAGCAAACTGCAGGTCTACCTGGCTCATTGAAGTCCTGGTCAGCGTCTGAGTTAAAGCTACTTTCCAGGAAAGAGGGAAACATGGGAGAAGATGATTCAAAAGATGGCGGTGAATCAGCTTTTCTGTGCGTCTGTGGAGAGTCCAGTGCTGACAGGTCGATGAGGTGGTAGCTTTTAATCTCTCTGGGACTCTTTGGAGCTGGAGGAACAAGAAGAAACACGTTCAAATACAAAGCAGTGCCAAACACAAGGTCAAACTTATATCCACAGGGACGTAAACAATGGAAAAAAAGGGGAACAAATCAGGCCTACCATTATTTTTCCGCTCCATTTCATCCTCACTTCTGCTTCTTTCTCTACCGCCGTTACACTCTCTCTTCCCCACTTTGTTTTTGTAATCGTTTACTACAAGTGTTAGCTCGTCGTTAGCCGCCAGGATCTGCACCAGAGCTACGTCCTCGTCCATCGTTTCGCTGGCCAGGCGGAACAAGCTGGGCCTCAGCCGGTCGCAGCGCTCGTACAGGGCCTGCAGCGACAAATCATGAGTTACACTTCTACACAAACACATTATCCTCCACAGTGAGAGGAAACATGTCTCTGAGAACATATCTGGAGGTTTATTGGGCCCAGACAGTATTATTCTTATATATATTATTTTGATAGTCTATATCAATGTAGGACTAATACATAAAAATTACTTTAATTTTAGTCCATAAACATTTCAACATTAAATCATTCAAGCATTTTAAAAAAAAAAAAATGTATCTGACAAAAAATGATATATAAATATATTGTTTTCTATTGTGGTCAAAAAAAGTTGCAAAAATTTGAGGCACATTTATTAAAGAAAGTTGATTTAATATTAAAATACTAAATAATTCAATCAATAAATTACTTCACTGAGGTTTTGTTGAGGATCTTTTTTTATTTCTTAAGGGTCATGATCTCATTAAATATGATAACAGGTGTACTGTATAAAGCTTATTAAAAAACTCTTAGGTAGAGAATGACATTCAATACGCTGCTATCAGGGTCACATATAACTCTTGTTACAACAGCATTTATTTTATTTAAAAGTGAAGCAACTTTTGACCAGAAAATCACAAATCAGTGTTTTGTGGTTTTACATTTTCAGCGAAGTTGGTGTGTGAACTCTCAAAGTAAACAGCCAGTAGAGGGCGATACAGAACCAGGACTCACAACCAATCTAGCTTTTGTGGTCTGCCCTGAACAGCTGTTTTATATCTGTGTCTCTGTGTAAGATGTGTATTAAGCAGAGGTGGGAAGTAGTAGAGTACAAATACTTTGTTACTGTACTTAAGTACATTTTTCTGGCATCAGTACTTCACTCCACTACTTATTTTTCTGACGACTTTTTAACTCTTACATTTTTTACACAAATACCTGTACTTTATACTTCTTACATTTTCCAAACAGGCTGGTTCCTTTAGTTTGAATGGCGTGATCATTATTATTTAGAGTCATTGCGTGCCTATTGATTTGAACACGATCCGTGTATCCATCATTTCCTGGTCTTCTCTAAAGAAGAGGGACCAATGAAAACGTTGTCATGTTGCCGTTGTTCAGCATGGAAACATTCATTAGCTAACAATGACATTATTGTTCTATTAATATAAAGGGAGGTCAGGTACTCTTTAAAACAGCTGCTAGTTATGGGTACTTTTTACTGAAGTACATTTCAAAGCTCATACTTCTTAACTTTTACTTGAGTAAAGAAGTTTAGTCAGTACTTTTACTTTTACCAGAGTATTTTTAAACACGAGTATCTGTACTTCTACTTGAGTAAAGGATGTGTGTACTTTTGCCATCTCTGGTATGATGTGTGTGATGTGTATGATGTGTGTGATGTGTGTGATGTGTGTGATGTGTGTGATGTGTGTGATGTGCACTGACCTTCATGTCGTCGCTGGGCTGTTGCGTCGCTCCGGTGATGGTGTTCTGCTGCAGGAGCACTCGGAGCTGTTTGGTGCTGCTCTCCACATCCTGCAGAGCGGACTCTCGCTTTGTCACTTTCTCTGCTTTCTCCTGCTCCTAAAACACACACACATCAAAACAAATGAATATCAAACTCATACAATCAGAAATGCATGCATGAACAGATCAGCTGCAGCACTGCTCACCTCCTGGATGGTGCTCTTAATGAGTCTGTTGGCCGTCTCCAGGTCTTCAGGACGAGCACTTTTCAACAGTCTGGCTAATAACTGAGGACACAGAAACACAGCTTTAGTGTGATGAAAGTTAATGTTACATCATCAGCTATTAAACACACTGACTCACCGTGGCTTTGTCCTCCTGGTCAAAAACGGACTCTTTATTTCTCTGTGTCGGAGGCGCCATTATTAATGTGTCCGGCAGTTTGGGGTCTTTCTTTACAATACCTGAAATAACAAAATCAAGGGTAATATGGATTAAACATTGGGAAAATAACTTACAACTAGGCCTGCATGTGATGTCTTTTCTTAAAGGAAATACAATGTCTAATGTCACGTTATATTACAAGATCAACCTAGAACAACAACAATAAATAAATCCTCTAAACAAAATCAAAATGTTGAATTCATTTCAATTTTAGAAACTGCTTTTTCGCAACACATTTGAAGAGTTTTGGACAATTCAACACACTGTAATGTAACTGTGGAAACAACCTACTACTACTTATATTAATTTAGCCAAATCTTTATCTGTATCAGTGTAAAAGTTTGATTCAACATTATAAATGAAGCTTTGAACTATTCAGTACATCGCCAGACTACTCATGAAGTTGGAATCAAAACAAACAAACAAAAAGGTGAATTTGAAGTTGCATAAGAAGTGGTGCAAAAGATAAGGCCCTTAATCAAATATGAGTTGGCACTTTACACCTACAGTAGATCCAATCAAAACAACTACAAACACATATGTACGGGCCAATATATCAAGTGAATAACTTCAGTGTATTTTATTATATATGTTGGATTGTTGGAGGAGCTCAGGTCAGAAGATTGTCATTGCCATTTCTACACTGTAGCTTAGTGCAGATGACAAAAAGAGTTTTCTAGTGCATGCTGAACCCTGACCTTGTTTCTTGAGCATGCCGTAGGCCTCGAGGATCTTTGGTTCTTCTTTGAGCCACAGAGTCCAGCCGTACAGGATCTCCGTCACTCGGTCCTTCACTTTCTGAGGAGTCCACGCTCCAAAGTACTGCTCAATCAAACATTCACCACTTTAGTCACATCACTGTTGTTCCTCAGAGAGCATTTAAAAAAAAATGTATTAGCCTTTTAACTTTTATTCATGTTGATCGGTATCATTCTATTACTTTTCTATTTAATCAATATATTTGTGTACATATTAATATGATGCATATTTATGTTGTTTAATAGATTCAATTATTTGTTAATTCACTATTACGTTTTTAACTGAAAGAGCTCAGTAGGCTTTTGTTTACATTATTGACTATCATTTTAATATTAGTATGAGTTTACCAGAGGAGAGTCTGTAAATCAAAACGTTTATAAAGTGTATGGATCAAAGATTTAGGCCCAATCCCAAACCACGCCCTACACCCTACCCCTACACACTCCCCCTCCGTGACGGAGTGACACTCGCAGCTCAACGAGGCTCCCTCCTGTCAGATGGAGGGAGTAAATACAGCGACAAGCTTTGGGACAAACTCCCCTCTCTCCGGCAGAAACAGGAAATGCCGTAACTGTATGTAACAACGGTTTCAAATCAGCATCTCTTTGACAAAAAATGTAAATTAATAACTCAAATAAAACTCCAAACATCTTTCATTGTGTTACTTTTTTGTAAAGCTCTTTTAGTTTTAAACCTGATTTTTATAAGCTTCTTAGTTTTTGTAACAATCTGTAAATAACACAACTTTATAATAAAATGCACACATTTACCTTTTTCTAGACTAAACACAGGTATGATCCTAAGTTAAAAAAAACATGAGGTTATCATGAGGTTGTTAACATCGCAGTTTATCAGCGGATGTTTGCTGGAACTGTTTGTAAACAGCGTGTTTCCTGACGGACACACACAGCGTGACTCCGGTCAGGTAGAGACCGGTCTCAAGTCAGCACCGATGCAGACTCGCTGTTTGAGGGCTTGATAGCCCACTCCCCCTCCACACCGCTCCACACTCATTGGTTTGGAACAGCACTTAATGTGGCGGACCCTCCGCGCAAACGGAGGGGTAGTGTGTAGGGGTAGGGTGTAGCGCGTGGTTTGGGATTGGGCCATAGTGTGTAGGATTTGTGTGGTTGCTTCACTTATCAATTTTAATTAAAGTTAGTGTTTGAATCTTTAGCTTTACATTTATTCATGCCGTCTTCTATATTCCCAATGGATTTTAAACGGCTTCTCAAAACTGTTTTTGTACTTTTAAAAAAAAAAATCTTTGAATTTGACTGTTTATTTCATTACTCATAGTTTTTGTTAATTAATTGTACCATTTGTTGGTTTCTCTTTGCTGTCTTGCATGAATCACTTTTAACTTAGGTTTTGAAAAGTGCCTTATAAATTAAGGTTATTATTATTATTATTATTATACATATAAATAAACGCAGCACACACACACGAATCTCAAGTTAAAACAATCACATTATTTAGTTTTATATGGCCTGAATTAACTCCAAACAACAAACACATATTATTACCTTTGATTTAAGATTTGATATTGTCCTCAAAAAAATGAAACTGAAATGCACAGACAGGAAACACCGGTCTCTCCATAATTACCTTTGGAGTCAGCAGTTTGATGAGCTCGTTCAGAAAGCGAAACTTGGCGGCCTCGCTGTGAAACCTCTTCCCACAGTTGTTCATACACGTCTCGAGGACCTGGAAAGCACCAAATCATGGAACATCATCATCAACAGAAGCTTTTTCAAGAAGTGAAAACGAAAGAAAAAAGAGTCTCCTAGCTTTGACACGACAGAAAAAACAAAGACATTTTTGTCAGTGCACGTTTTCGCGGTTAACCTTTAAATGTCACATAACGTGCGGGACATGAAGCTTCCTTTTATTTTGAATTACCCTGCATATCTCTTAGAATAGAATAGGGAGGGATGAAACCCTCTTTAATGGTCACACATGCAGAGCACACAGCACACACAGTGAAATTTGGCCTCTGCTTTTAACCCATCCTAGTACAAGGAGTCTAGTACTAGGAGCAGTGGGCAGCTATTGTACAGCGCCCGGGGAGCAATGGGAGTGGGGGGGAAGGGGGGTGTCCGGTGCCTTGCTCAAGGGCACCGGACGTACACTTTGATGTATACATGACTGAATATTACCGGACGTACACTTTGATGTATACATGACTGAATATTACATACCATAGCTGTCACAGCAGATTCAATATGCAGATTAAATCCCCCTCATCACTTGCTTCTTGTGGTAAAAGTTAGTCACAGATATTCTCCACAGGACCGCCCCCCCCCGGTGTTAAAACAAAGGCCTTTGTTTCTTAATGAATGGTCCGTAAACCTTATAGATGACCGTGTGTAACCCGTGATGAATTGCATTAAATGAAAACACATACTGCATGTGAACACATACTGTACCACACTAGATGTATATTGTATTTCCTGTAACTTACTATTACATGTATGGTTCAAATATAAAAAGTAGGGCTAAAGTAGTGGCTTGCTGCTTCTGGGGACTTCCCAGACGAACAAACAGGATATTTAACAATAGATTAAATTAAACTGTGAATAACATGAAGACATGTGATACTCACAGTGAGAGCCTGCAGAGACTCTTTCTCCTGTGGCGACTGGATTTTATGGGCAAGAAGGCGAATGGCTACCTGTGGTCTGAAAGTGGAACAAAAATTAGGTTTAAAATCACATTTAAAGGCCTGGGTAGAGCGAGAGCAAAGAACATGTTATGCTGACAAACAAATAAGTACTTTTCCCATAGCTTCCACACATTGCCATGCTTGAGTTAAAGGTGGGGTAGGTAATTTGGAGAAACCAGCTCGAGATCGCTAGAATTTGAAAATACACAGCTGGAAAAAATCTGCCACTTCCTTACAGAGCCCCTCCTCCAACACACACGAACGCGCACATGACCAATGAGGGCACGAGATAAGTTTGTGCACAGATGGAAGGCTGACAGGCAGGTAGGCCGTCCAGTTATTTTAGCCGGGCTGGCTAAAATGATTGGTCGTGCTTTTTACAGTACCACGGCTTCCACAGATGACTTTTTTTATGGATTTTTTGTCAAAGCACTTAAGATATTCATTGCTATCGGGATGTTAAGAGCATTCCATGGAATATAACAAAAAGTGTATCTCGAGCCGGTTTCTCAAACTTACCTACCCCACCTTTAAGCTAATAGATAGGAATAAAAAGCTTGAAAAGTGAATTTAACATACAGTATATTCTTGCTATAGATGCCAATGGCTCGCTTAAAGCTACTGAGGCGTTGATAACTGTTTCTGATGCATGTTTAATGAATTAAAGCAGAAGATACCAGTTAACACTCACACTGTTTATTTTCCTGTCAACTTCTTGTCAATTAAACTCAAATTATTTGTAATAAGATACAAACAATGAGAACCACGAAAGGAGGGGGTGGGCGATATGTCCCCAAATAAAAGATTATACTCGATCTTTCCTGCCAGTTTTGTTTGTCTTTCATTTAAAACAATGGAATAAAATACTGTGCAAATGATCGGTAATAATATAACCAAATATTCTCTTCATCTTGGTGTGTCACTCTCCTACTCTGTTTGTCTTAAATCAGGTATATACAGTAAATATTGGAATATATATATTGTCATATTGCCCAGCCCTAGTTCCTACTTACAGTAAGTGCTCATTGGCAACTAGACTTGCTTTTAATTAACGTTACATTTATATTAAAAGGGTCAAAAGTGTAAAAGGTGGTGCAGACTTCCTCCTTCCTCTTGCACAGTCTTGAAACTGAGAAGGTGTGATGGCAACATGGACGTGAAGCAACTCTTTCTCAAACCCCAAAATTGCGTTAACTTCTAGAAGCACGAGGCCTTCCTTGAAAACGTTAGCCCATGCAGCACATGGAGTAGGTACAAATAAGGAGAATCTTGTTCAGTTTACCCGTCAGTTTCTTGGTCTACGAGCTGGTAGAAGCTCTGGATGCAGTCCCATCTGTCCTGCTCATTGTTGGGGTCTGTGGCCTGGTCTGAAACCAAAAAGACACCAGAGAAAAAGGTTAAACGACCCCCAAAAACATGTTTAAAATGTGCCACAACTATATTAAATACATGCAACAAGCAAAACAACTTTGATGAGGAAGTGAAACACACAGAAAAACAGGGAAACGATACATACTTTACGGTGTGCTAAGTATATTTTCCAGATGTGGAGTGTAACAATATATTCACTTTTCCTTTCATTTATTTGTTTAAGGTTAAAATTGTGTCATTTTTTAAGCTTGTTTTGTTCAACCGATGTTTCAAAAGACCAGTAATATTTTAATTTTGCTTAATAAATAACCTGAATGATGAGGTTTGATGAGTATTTGTAGTTAGTTATATATTATGATCTTATCTTAGAAGCTTAAATATATGTTTAAATGCAGTTCTTTAATTCCTAATTGTGTATTTTTCCATACTAGTATTCCTACTTTAACAGAAATAAAAAAGTAAGTTCATCAAGTTTTATAAAAATGTTTTGCCAGAATGCGCGTTCACGTCAGGAGCACATACATATATAGAGCGCTCGTCGGGTACGCGCACGTAACCAACTTCCTGCTGAAACTGATACTTTCTGCACAAACTCATTTAATTAAAGTTAAAAACATGAACACATTCAGAATGTATTCGCCAAAGTATCGCGATATTATGAAAACATAAGTACAACTGGCGTCACTAACCAAGTTAGTAAACAGCTGCGTTAAAAAGTTCAAATACGTTGGATAAACAAGTAAGAAGCTAAGAAAAACACCACATTTGAGTTATTTTCTCCCGTTTACTTACTGAGCCATGACTCAAAGGTTGCCGTGTTGTCTCCGGTCGCCATGTCTTCGGTTCTCCTCGGTTCTCCTGCGGGTGCTGAGGTGTTCACTAGCCGCTGTGCGTCCTTCTGGGGGAGCGGAGGTGTCAAACTGCAGGCTGTCTGCAGAGACATGTGACACTCACACCCCGTCACACTCCTGACACACAAATTATATTACACACACACACGCGCACACACACACACTCGCAAACACACACATACACACACTGCAGTGGAAGAAAGAAACTACAGTACATATTAAAATAGCGTACATAGTTGTCTTAAATAATATTATTCTTTTACATTTAGTAAGATGTAATTGTCCCCTAATAGTGTATATTTTACTTTTTAGTTATGTTTTATTTTCTGTTTTGAGATGTTTATATGTTGTTTTTTTTTCTAATATTTTTCATATTCACATAATGTGCAATGCCTTGTATACATGCTGCTTTGGATTATTGAAGTCAATCTTATCTAATAATTTATTAACATGTCTACTTATTTTTAAATATGTATATTTTAAGTTTATTTATTTTTGTTTGACACCCCTGTTTTTTAGTAACAGGGGTGTCAAACTCAAATACACAGTGGGCCAAAATAAAAAAATGGGTAGGGGAGGGCCGGACTGGTTCAATGTTTATTGCAAAACGTATTGAAACGAACTTATTGCACATATTAAACCTGGAACAAACAAAGCTTAAATGATTGCCTATAAAAACAACATTAAACATTAAATAATCAGTTGCATTCATTTCTTATGGCTCTATCTGCAGCTTTTCCGGAGTCATTTCTTATGATTACATTTTTCCACAGGCCAACAACAGCTTCAAAAAAACAATTTCCCTCAAAGAAAAAACCAAACATGCCCTGTTGTCTCAAGAAACAAAGTGCAGAAGGAAACATCCATTGAAACTCAGTTTGCTGCTGTGATGCTAGTTCAGATACTTGGCATCTCATCTTGGGTGCAAGTTCATCAATGTTTGGGGTCAGGCTCTGAGCTGAGGAAACCCTCAGGATTGAGTGAAGGTGTGCGTGCCATATACCGGCGGGCCAGATCTAATTAGAAATTATCCTGCGGGCCGAAATTAAATCCACCAAGGGCCTGATCTGGTAGAGCATTCCAACCTTTTAAAAAATATTTTACATTGTGCTTTTATTCTTTAGATACATCTCTTTCTACTGTAATCTGTATGATTACTGTTTGATTATTTATGCAACGCCTTGTTAACATACAGCTGTAACAAAACCATTTTCCACAATAGGATCAATAAAATCTCATCTTATCTATTTTCAGGTATTATACATTTACTTCAATTTTATGCAATGCAATGTTTCTCTTCTTCAAAACATTTAATTGACATTGTAAAGCACATCTGTCTGTTGTAGCTTGGTAAAATGATTTGCATAAAAAGACCACGGTACTTCCCATCCTTGGCTGTCACCTGGTCCTGTAAAGTCCCTCAGAACCAAAAAAACAAGTAGACCACGTGGTAAATGTTTTATCTCTTTTATACAATATTTATAATAATTCAAGTATTGTCCAAGTCGACTCATCGGGATGTTTTCAACGTGTCCCAGCGAGCTTCGGCAGAATCACCAGGAGTTTGCACGTAGCTCTCAACACACAGGTCTTTAACAACAGTTTTTCTTCTGCAGGTGTGAGGATGTGCAGTCTTTAACTCGTCTCTGAAAGCTGCAGAAGTTTCTGGAATCGATGGCTGATCTCTTCGGGTCCCAAACACACCATCATCTCCGCCACACTGGGCCCCTGCTGCAGGATCAGAGGAGAAACAGAGGGTCAGGGGTCAGAGAAGTAATGCAATCAAACATCACAGCAAGAAACAGACAGGAAAAGCAATCAATTTCTACTTCCTCTTCCTTCTGTGAATATCTGCACGGTTACTGCGGTGAATGAGTCAAAGTAGGTTTTCTGAGGCTTGAGTCATCACTAGCATTTTTGAAACATGCTATTCTAGGGTTTAGCTCAGTCATGCCATGGAAAGATGTTTAAAAATAAAGGGGGACATGTGAGATAATAGTCCTGCAAGATTTGACAGCAAAAGAGATGTTTAGTTATATAATTGCAGAAATGAAAATTGCGGGGTTAGCTGTAATAAAGATTGAAGGATGTTATCAGTTCCTCTAAAAGTAATAATGTGACGTGGATGTGGTGTTCTTGAGGTAAGCAAATACAAACGTAAGCTTCTGGAAAAACAAACAGAATCATTTAATTTAATTTAATTTTAACTTTAAGTGCAGTCTGCAGAAAGAAAAGCTAGATTTGATTTGATTTGAGGTCCTCAAAATGGTTCTTAAATTAAGAGCCCATCCTGTCTTTGTAACAAATGGTAATGAATGAAATAATTCCCAAGCTTTTACCTAGATCAGTGGTTCCCAACCTGGGGGGGGTGCGCCAAAGATCGCAGGGGGTGCGCCAGGCCTCAGATGATTTGAGGCCAAATATCATATCATTTTTTTTTTTTATTACATATATTGGAACGCAATACATGATTGTCGCTAAAAGCCTTGTCTCTAAATTACAATAAAATATAAAAAATAATTGATTAATTAATTTGAATACAAATTCAAGTTAGTAGCTATTAAAGGCATAAAAAGACAGAAATGTATAATTTTTTCCCGTAAAGTGTCCAAAACAGGCTTTTCTGGATAAGCGCATTTTTAAAACATAGTCATTGTCCATGCCGGTTTCAGTTGGATTATTTGTCACAGTCTCCTCCATTTTGTAGATTATTTACGACTTTTGAATCCACATAGGCAAAATCCGGCTTACTTTGAGCATGTGTTTTAAACAGTTTAATCCCTTTGTGAATTGTTTCCACTTGCGCCGTCCTTTCATTTATTCATACAGCGGGAATCCAAATTAATTAATCCTGAGTCCAATAACCATCAAAGTCACTCCAATAGTGCTCCTTAATTACACTTTCATCCTCCTTTAACAAAATACTTCACATTCATTCAGGCCCCGGCTCCACGAGGACGAAAACTGGTTGAATCCGCATATTTCTCATGCGTATAGCCCTCTAAGCTCCACGACGCCGTAAGGGAAACGTAGAAACAGACCCCGCAAACGACAACGGGTCCAAAGGTGGATAGATCTGGGAACAGAGCGCTCTGGGGGGTCCAACGGGGCCGTGGAGTCGCCTATACGGTCATTCGTTTTCATAGCCCCGCCTCTCCCTGCCTCTCCCCCGCGGGGTTGCTATCGTGCTCCAGTCGCTACTGACCATGCTACAGTTCTTTGTGCAACATCTACAGGAGCTCCTCCTTGAATTCAGATTATTTATCTTTATCTCGATATGGACATAAACGCGAGTGAAGTCTAATCTGACAGGACGGAGACACGCAGCTCCTGCCGCTGTGATGCAGCGGGAGCAAAACACACACTTCAAGTCAGATCATCACCCTTAGCTATTTTAATTACCTCTCAAACTATCTAAACTAGTTATAAATATGTTCATTTTTACTGTCGGGTCACTCATTACAGGATCAGCTGCTGCATGAGACAGACACTGACGCTGTGAGAAGAGAGGAAAAAGAGACAGGCTCTGTGTATTTGATGATTATATATCATTATATCGTCGTTATTCATTTGTTTTAAAGCTCAATAAATAACAATGAAGACCTTTGACCGGCACTTTTATAATTTTGTCCGGAAGATTTAAACTTTAACACACGCTGACCGGCGAAAAACTCTGCCCGGTTCTGTCGGCCCCCACCGCGGAGAATACACAGAAGTGCAGCCATGACAACCATTCTTCTTCGCTGCTTTTGTGGAGGAAGTTGCTGCTTTTGTGGAGGAAGTTACAGCGCCACGTACAGGTTCGGCATATGTACTGCAGCTTTTCCAGCGGTTGGATGTAAACGGAGCCGTCTCGTGGAGCTTGACACAATCCGGTGTATATTGCGTGGGGACGGAAGGTTTTTTGCGGTTGCATTTGCGTTACTCCGATGCGTTTTGCCGTATTTGTCCTCGTGGAGCCGGGGCCTCAGTTTGTGACAGTAGTTGTAGCATTTTTGAGACTTTTAAACTTTAATTACCGCTGTTGCTCCCCCCCTTGTGTGTGTGTGTGTGTGGGGGGGGGCGCAACTTCCAACAGGAGTCATTTGGGGGGGCTCTTGAGAAAAAAGGTTGGGAACCCCTGACCTAGATAATGGTACAAACATTTTGAGGGGACTGAACAAAACTGCAGACTCCAAATCACTCGAGGACTGGATGAATTGTATAATAACAGTTAGGAGAGTTTTTCTGGAGCTGTTTTTTGCAGACGTTTTTATGCTACATTGCGGCTACATCTCAACCATCAGTATAGCCTTGAGTCAAGCTGAAATGAGGAGTGGGCTGCTGATGTCATACAAGCTAACTTATTTCTAACCACCAGATTTGAATCATTTTCAAACTTGTAGTCTTCAGCAAAAACAGACACTCATTTATGTAATCTCACTCTTAATTGATCAGATGTTGTGCAGCTCCTTCATATGTAGTTTCTTTTTGCTTTTTCCATGAACATTTCCCCCAACATGTACACTTTGCTCACTGGATTCATCCTACTTCGCAATCCTTTTGCTCAAAGCACCTGGAATATGACGTGGATTGTCAATAATAAGAATTGTTCAAGTTGTTCAACATCAGTGCCGGAAAGCATTTTCTTAAACTGCATTAAAGTGTGGCCTTGCCTTGTTTCTGAAGGGGTGTTTTGTGGTTCTAAAGGCCCTGACACACCAAACTGACACCAAAGAACACGTCCCGACAGACCCGATTGTTCTTGGCCAAAAAGTCGCACCGGAACACACCGCAAAGACTTCAGCCGACGGCCAAGTAGCACGTACGCACTGCGCATGCGTGAGTGGCAATAACTCTCCTTACCAGCAGGCGGCGGTAGTGTGTATTCGTCATTCAAAAGAGGCAACCGGAAGACAGACTGCGTGATATATACAAACAACAAATAGCGTGCGTTCCATTTTCACTCTCGTCTCTCACAGACTGTTTCACATAACGACTTATAATCGAAAACATGTTTAGTGCGGTACTGGAAAATAAAAAATAATAGCCGTCTGTGTGTGCCTTCTTCACTTCGGTTTCGCTTCTAATGCACTGATTC